CACTGTTGGATTTAGCTTACATACCCTAAGGTGCTTGATAAATTTAACTCTGTTGTTGCAATGAGGTATATGGAACTAAAAATGATGTATCCAATGTGACAGGAGAAATCTTGAAAAGAGCCTGGCTAAGGATCCAGATCTTAAGAATTCCAGTCCTATGACTTATCCATGCATTTGCTGTCACTCTACATTTCTTTACATGGGCTGAAAGGCTTGGAATTTATGCAAAGAAGTGGAGACATGCAAGGTTGCGTTCCCTTTAGTGTCAGAGAAGACATTGTTGGAAACACTCAGACAGAATGATGGGTAATGGGTTGCTCTCTGCTAATCAAGGTGCCAGCTGAAAGGGCACCTTTTTATCCAGTCGCTTCAGTTTTGATAGTCATTTAGAAAGCAATAGTTTATGCTAGGAATTGCCTAAGTCATTACAAAGAGGGTTCTCATTGTCTGACCCTTGCCACAGGCTCTTTTAGTAGTAACCGTGATGTGTGAAGTGAGTAAAGTGAGTAACAAGCGCTGGTGAGTTTTGTGTTTTCTCTGTAACTTAGCCAAGTCAAACAGGTATTTGAAGTCTATGGTAAGATCTCCTGAGGTGTAGAAATTACACAGCTTCCAAAGATGAGAAAGGTGCTTATTCTATTAGATCTGAACGTGTCTGCAATGCTAGTAATTCAATAAAAAAATCAGCAGAACATAGGTCTGCTATTCTGGCACAAGGCTGGAGAAGTTGCTGTTGAAAATGTTGCTGTTCACATGGCACAAAAAATATAGGGTTACATTAATTTATTTATATATATTTTTTTCCCTTTGAATTCAAAAAGGTACTTTTGGGGCAAAACTAGAGCGGTCTGACAGCCCTCTTGACCTGCTTTGCAAACAAGCTCCATTCTTCAATGCCAGCCAGTGAATGGCCATAGAGACCAGAGTGGTGTTCTGTCTGGAGGTGGTTTCTGCAGATCAGAGGTGATAAAGGGCTAGAGGGAGAGAGATTTGCAGTAGTGCCAGTGCTCTGCCTTTTGTGAGCATAATCAGGGGACATCAGTTTCCAGGGCTGTCAGTCAAGCACTTGAGCAGGCATTAGACTCATTTTTACAAAAAATGTGAGGTCTAAGTATAGAAGAAGAGTTTAAAAATGGCAAAGCCAAGCCTCTGGAAGGCCTAAACAGGTATGAAGAGAGCAGAGGACACTTTGCTCTTTTTCAAGATTTTACTTCAGTCTCAGAGACTAGTAGCAAATAAATGAAAGGGAGAATTACACAAAAGAAAGATACTTTCAGCACTTTATGGTGCCACAGGCTTGCAGCATAGGTGATCACTGAGATGGCTTGGCATGTACTGGAGCAAAAAAAGGAAAACTGATAAAAACTGTAAGGAGATATGTTAGTGCTAATTTAGAGTATCTACTTTTATTCTTTCTCAAATTGTATTTTTTTTTTCCCTAGGAATGGTTCTGTTATGGCTAGTTTAAATACTTAAGGTTTCTGTTTTTATAAGAATGAGAATATGAGGATCAGGTTCTTGATAAAAATAATCTACAAGGGTTCAGTGGCCTGGTTCAGGAAAACATTTTATTTTAATTTTGACACTATATCAGTGAGAAAAAATGATCAGCTCTTGGTGATTCATATATACAATAGAGAATCTATGAGATTGGCCAGCATCACTGATGAAATCTTGGTCTAGTTTGACAAAATTTTAAATGAAAGACCAAACCAAAACTAAATTTCAGTTTCTATTAAAGCAGGTTAAATATCTCTCCTAAGATCTTCTGTTGTTCAGATCAAACATTATAACAGTACTGAGCTTCTTCATTGTGTCTGAAAGTGCTGAACCCCCTCTTGACTGGTAATCATAAATGAGAAGACTAGATACAGGAGCAGAGTTGAACTCAGATCAAAACCATATAGTATCTCTATAACATTGACAAGGAAAGTCCTTTTCAAGTACATTTCAACTTTTCTTCTTCTCATTGTTTGTGTGATAAAAGAACTTACTAGATGTAGCAGAAACTAGGAGTGACATATCCCTAGAAGTGCATGTGAATACAAAGACAGAGCAAGTATCCCAGAAAAGGTATCCATTAAGTAGATAACAAGTACAAGAAGGAAAATCGAAACAGAATAAACTTCAGGATGTTTGATCCTCCCTTTTCCTAACATGTGAATCCAACACAGTTCATGTACACCTGGAAGCTGCACAGACCTTGAGTTGTTAAGTGGCTAAAAGTATTGCATTTTTTGTTTCTGATAAATTGAAAATTTCAGTTTAAATGTTGTCATTTTCTTCTGAAAGGTATGAATTACATGAAAGACTCAATGAAAAAATCTCTTTCAGCAAAACAGATGATGTCATTCATGCGCAACTCTAATTTTGTGCATAACACAATCCCCATGTCCATACACAGGTAATCTTATTATTTTCTATACAAACTGTATCCATAGGGACAGTTTGAAGCTCCCAGCCTGTACAACAGTAAGTAGGTAATATCAAAATAGGAGACTCAAGAATAGGATCAACAACATTTACTGCTGAGCACTGTCAGCTACTTCCTTTGTTTAACAAGAGAATAGGCAGTAAGGTTTTTGACCAAATGCTATTTTCTAGAGGTCAAAGCTAACAGAGGAACAGAGGATCTCCTTTTGAACACTCTGCAGGTTCTTCAGTCAGTAGAGGTTGACAGCTACAAATCTCTAAGTAGCATGATTTTTGTGCTGAAGGAGGCAGCAGAGACACAGATATGTGTCTGCTCCTGTAATGTACAAGACCAATAACCTTGCTTGAAAGATTCTCTCCTATTGCCCCAAAGGGATTTTGGCTAAAGTCAAAGCAAGGATATTTTGTTTAAGTATCCAAGAGATACTGAAATTTGATTCTGAAAAATAAAAGATCATTCTAACACAAATGTGTGTCAAATTAGGCCTATTTATACTAATGTAGCATGAAATTGGATCATCCTGTCAAATCTGTATCTCCTCAGCTTCTAATGTATTCAAATATTCTGCTCTCTTTTTACTTTCTTTTTATTTTGCCATTTCTTTTCCCTTGTTCCCATTTGTTGAGTGCTCAGGTTTTATGGATGATGTGCTCAGTCTTGAAATCCCTGGGTATATGCGTGCCCATGGACATTTATTCAGCACTTCAGCACTGTCACACTGGTTTCAGGGAAAAAAAAAAAAACAACACAAAAACACACTACTTTGTTTCAGAAGTGCAAGTTATGCATTATGCCAGAATCCAAATCTCTGGGATGACAAGTCTGATGTGAGGCTGGAAATATGAAATGGAGGGATAAAGCAGAAAAGGAACACAGAAGAGGCAATGACAAAACAAAAAACTATTTTCTTCTCCTAGTTCAGCATATGAATATTTGCCTTTGGGTTCCAAGGGTTATTGAGCTATAACAATTTGAACAAACTGAAGCCAGGAGTTCTTTGCTGCATCTAAACTGTCTGACAGGTCCTGCATTAGCTGAACTCTTTGATATCTGGAAATTTATAGAGAAGATTTAGCTACAGCAAGCAACAATTGTAAAAGAAATTCCATCTTGGCTGAAGGAGGAAACCTGCTTTGTGATCTGGTGATAGCTGGTATGCTTAAATGACTAACAAATGATGCTTTGCACAGGTGCCTACTGAATGATTCAGGTGTAAAGTAATCTGAGCAGATCTGATCCATACACAGATACGCAGAGCTGACAGTGAGTGTAAAGGGGCTGCATATACAGCGAAGGCACAATAAGAAATTTGTGTTACACATGAATGCCTTGGAAAGACAACATTTGACAACACATTTTCCAGCAGTTATGGGTGATAGAAAGGCATTTTTCAGTGCCAAGTTCCTTAATTCAGGTCCCACTATATACAGGAGTTTCATTGTCTATATGACCTGTCATCTTTTGAGAACTACCCTGCATTTTATAGGACCTCCTCACGCAGACTTTTGACTGGTCCTTTCCCTGTTTCCTGAGGAAGCTGGAGGAGTTCAGGGGTGTTCCTGGGATCTTTCAGGGCTGGTTGATAGGGAAAGTACATGATCTGCAGCACCAAAGTGCTCCTTATACACCTGGAATGTCAATGTATGTTTACTGACATCTAAAAATGAGCCTTTTTATCTCGGGAGGATCATTCAGAAACTACAAGGAAATAATGATACTTTAGAAATTGGCATAGTGGAATAATCCAGAAAGGACCATCTGCATCACCAAATACAGAACATACTGCAGTCATTCTAATGCAAATTCTCTTCCTTTACATTTTCTTCATCCTCTTTCTCTTCCACAAAAGCAGAAACAACAATAAATCTAGATTCTCTGCATCAGGTTGTTTCATTGCTTTCCCCAGAGATTTTCCTCTATAGTATAAACCCAGCCTGATGTGCTCACATTCAAGAAGTTACTTAACAGAACAGACTGTCCTGGTGGCACGTTTATTAACACCATATATAATGAGGATGCAATTGTATGGTAACTGTAGCATCTTTCTGTTTAGCAATAGAAAAAAAGGACTACCTTCTCCAAAAACACACATACAACCACTAGTCAAGTTTAGAGGGCTGTTCGACTGCCCTCAAAGATGAACTGTGTATGCAAATTGCTTTTAAACATCACATGATGGAAACTTATAAGCCACAGTTAACTGTCCTCTGATTCTTGGAATAGAAGGCACATCTGTTATTTGTTTGAAATGCAAGAGAATAATAATAATAAAAATAATAAAAGTCTGCCTGCTACCTTGCAGGAAGGCAGAAGGATTCCTGCACCGATGCTAAGCAACACTGGAGAATAAAAGCACTGCCTTGGAACAGAGCCCTTGCAGAAGTGGGTGTCAGAGAAGAATCCTACTTGCAAATCTCTCACAGCTTTCTAAAGCCACCGTGTGTCTTGTCTATGACAACACAAGAATAGGCAGTGACAGATATGAACTCTTAATTTAAGAACACCAGGATATAACAATATTCTGAATGCTAGCACAGATGTAGTCAGTATGGAAATGTTTCTGTACCTTTTTTTTGGTGAAGTTGTTCCATAGGAATGCATTCATTCAGTCAGATCTGTGTAAAACAAAGAAAGAAAACAGGAAGTCAACACAGTTGCCATAAGAATATGTACGAAACTAGTATTAAAAGTTACATAAAACTGCACCAGCTGAGACCTTCAAGGGTCTTATATTAAGTCCCAAATAACTTGTGGGGAAATAAAAGACTTTAATACAAGAATCACTAGAGTCATTTGGTAGGTGCTTTCAGGGAGAAACAGGACTGACCCATAGAGAGACTTTTCTTGGATCCAGGAGATGGTAAATCTTAGGGCAGATATGCCATAAGATATGCCTCAGGTTGGTTTAGCATTTTAAAGGCAAGTTTTCTTAGGATACTCAGAAGTAAATTTCTAGCTTTCAGTAGTTTCTTTGGTCCCTATCATCACTGTGGTAGCTGAATGGTGAATTGCATTATCCAACCTGAACTAAGAAATGTTGAAATACTTGGCATGTGGAAAACTGTAGGTGGAGCTACTCTAGGACTGGGAGAATCACTTGGCCATAGGGGAAAATGCTTAAAGAGCATCTTTCACAGACATTATGGTCACCTAGGATGTACCGTGGGCTCTCAATTCTGGTTTCCATCCTTTTTGAGACAGTCCTTTGTTTTGAGGTGGACAATACGTATTTATGCACAGATCTTTGCTACAATATCTGTTCAGTTACAGGCCACCATAAAAATGCATGTTGCTAGCTAAGACAGCTCACATTTAAAAAATACTTAGTCTTCCAAAATTTAAAATAGCCCAGAAAAAAAAAAGACACAGTTTATGATTCATCTGGAGTGCACACAGGTCCAGAAATGTTATTATGGAAGATTAGGTTATATGGCTAGACATGTTGGTAACCAGAAGTAGAATCCCTTATAAATGTAGATCTGTAATTCAACATAACGTTTTATTCATTGAGAGCCATGACTACAGTGGGGTTCTTCAGTAACCCCATACACTGTAGGAAGATGATTCAGTACTTTTGTTACACATTTTCCTTGGGGAATGCTAATCTTCTGACAAGCCTTATACTCCCTTTCTCTGTTTGCACAGTCATTGCCATGGTATCTGACCACTCTGCATGCCATTTAATACAGGCTATAATTCTTTTTGTTTGATATAAAAGAAAAAAAATCAACAACCACATGTTAAATGTTGTCTGATATTCTAAATGTACTATATTGTACTATAATTGTACTATACATCACATTTTAACCAAGACAGTTAAGGAGTTTTCTGACATCTGACACTGTCTTGAAAAAGTAATTATAACTTTTTATTATTATTATTGTTTTTAAAAGTGATCATGTCAATGGGTCTTGTCTGTGAAAGGGAAATGTTTCATAAAGCAATGAGTCACTTCTGATACGTTGCCTACTGCCAAGGTCATCCTGTCCTGCTGCTGGAGATAACACAATGTCAGCGTGTATCTCCAAGGGGAAAAAATATAAAACAAAGCAAAACAAACAAACATAACAGCTCATCTTTTCATCTGCTGTCTGCAACAGATATGCTATTTTCCTCTGGAAACTGAGGTCTTTGTAGCCATGTCCTTAGTGCAACAGGTACAAACTTGCTGGTCATTAGGCTGAATTTAGGAGGACATCTAGAGGGGTTAGAAGTGAGATTGAACTCCTTGCCATGCTGGTTTTCTGGTATAGAATTCTGCTATGGAAAAAAATCCTGTAATGATGCTGCAGACATACACATTGGGTTGTGGAGAACTGATCCTAGACTGTTAATTGTGCATATTCCTGTCAAATATATTTACCCTTCCATAGTCACACTATGACCAACGTAAGTCACAACTGAAGTGGAAGCTGCAGACTGAAAGCCTCCTCCATACTAACAGTATCTCTGGCTGGTCTTTCTCCTTCTGCCTCTCCAAAGGAAGAAAGAAAAAAAGAAGCAAACTAAAGCACAATTTTATCATAAGGGAACACATCAGCAGAGTCCTGCTGGTGTCACGAATTCCTCCACTGTGTTCCAGACCTAATGTCTCAGGAGGAGGGGCTTGGAAAGAAGTAGGAGGATGAAGGAGTACTAATAGCCTGGTGAAATAATGAGAGAGTGAGAGAGAGAGAACACAGGAAAGAAAGTGGGATGAAAGAAAGGAAGAAACCTCTTTCTGATCAGTGGAAGTACCATACTCTTCCCAGGCAAAGGCCTTTCCCAATGTGGTCATTCATTCATCATTGACCCATCTGAGCCCACACGGAATAATGAATCCCTGGAAAGCCAGAAGCTACTTTTTAAATCTTTTGAGCTTGGGCTAATTTTAAACCTACTCCAGTTGAAATATTTACTGCACGTCTTCCTCATAAATTATGTGATATTCAAAAAGTGAAAATCCTCATTTCAGCATCATCAACTCGAGTGGAAAACTGCAAATCCTCCAACAGAAAATTAGCAAACATTTGTTCTGTCTGTCAGCTCAAGTGTGCTGTATTTTTTCCCTGGCACAGATGTATTTAGGTTTGCTAGCTGGTGAAACTACTGTAGCTATTCTGCAGTGTCCCTGGAGACAGGCATCCTATGGCTACAAATGAGTGTATTATTTAATCATGAAAAGACAAGACTTTGAATAAGAGAAAGCATTTCTAAAAGAAAAGTTACCAAGGACTCTGGGATCTGACTGCATAATTCAATCTCATTCCATCTTTTGAATGAAAATGGAATGCTGCTGAAATGATGTACTTCTGCCTTGGGAGTGTGCTTCATGTACACCAAAGTACGATGATGTACTTCATACAGCCTCGGCAAGAAATCAATTTGTAGATGAGAGGACAGGAAAGTAAGTTCTCTGAACATTTAGTAATCATTAATTGCTTCATGCCACATCAGAAACATAAGTATTTTGTCTTGCATGTGCAAAGTAGGTAAGTACTAGTGTTTCAAGTTTTGGGGTGTAATGTGAAATTCTTTCAACGGGCTTAATTTCTGGAGTATTTGGTATTCTCTACTTCAAAATAAAGTTTTTTTTGTTGTTATTGTTTGTTTGTTTTTTGAGAGTGACTCTATCCAAACACTCAGTTTTAAAATCTGAAGAACAGAAGAACATCAAATTATTAGTCATTTGTGAACTTTTATACTGAATACTACCACTTCACTGATGTAAAAACAAGACTGCTTTTGCAATTTTTTCCAGAAGAGACTTTGCAACAAAAGAGACTTGGTAAAACCCTGGAAGGTCAAGAACCAAGTACATATTGTAACTAACTACTAGATGGCACTTTTTAATTTAATTTAATTTTATTTTGCTAATTTCATCCATTTCTGATTATTTTACATCAGTTTCAGCAAGTATAGTTTTTACCAGTGAAATCACTGAGATTAAAACCAGGTAAAAGTATTTATGCTCTATAAAAGTCTAAGAGAAGCAGTAGATTTAGGGAACTCGGTGGGCACGTGAAAATAATTTAGAAGTATATGCAAAATAGAGAACTTATAAATAAAATTAACTTTTACATCTTTATAAACTGCACAAAATGTTACCCTTTCTGCTGTTCCTAAAAGATAGCAACATTCCCTTAAGTCGGAACAGGAGAGACCCTTCATTTCTAGATTAATTTTAGAGATTTGAAAAATGATTTGAAAATATGGCTCTTTTGGGTTCTTAAGGCTCCCGTGACTTCAAGTTCAGGCAAACGAGTCTTGTTGTGAGGTTGAGATTAAAAGACCCTAAGATTAGTATCCATAATTCAGTTACAATTTTCAGCTAACAGCTCAGTACTGCTCATGAGTCCCCTTGCCACCATGGTGACCCCACAGCTCAGCCAAATTTAAATAAATGTTTCCCAGGAATAATGAAAGTGGCAAAGGGCTGCAGTACACAGCAAGACTGTGCTCCTACACTAGGGCCAAAGCAGATACATTCAGTTTGGCATCCTGTTTCAGGAGCTGATTCCCAGACCAATTGTGTGTTTTTCTCTTCAGGTGTTGCCAGTGTTTTAGAGAAAAACAAGCAACAGAGCTAAGGGAACATTTCCCCCGGAGTGATAGACAAAAGCAGAGATTTAAGATTTGCTGGCCCTTATCTTTCTCAGCATCCCATGTACAAAAATACTGAAACATTTTATTAGATGCTCATTTTGTCTCTGATTTCTGAGATCAGTAACTTAAGTATAATATATGTGTAAATGAACAGGATACAAGATGTCTGTAGTATTGTATGGTCACATTTTCTATTTGATCACAAAGAATTGTAAATCCAGGTAGACCTGTGTCAAAAAGGCTGCATAGTGAACAACATCATACAGTCTCATTTACTGATACTTGAAAAAAAAATCTTGTGACAGCTTCTTTGAAGTTTTACTTTTGATCTCACTATGACCTACAGCCTGGCTACAGGCCAAAGAAAAGGAGACTCCAAGTGCCAGAATTTTAGTGTAGACAGAGAGAAGCAGAAATTGCTAGAAAGTGAATTCAGTTTTACAATCTCTAAGCATTGGATCGCATGCCACAAGACAGATGAGTACACAGACCCATTTGTTGTGGTGAATCCCATGTTATGCTTTGATCCTGCTACTAAGATTAGTCAATAACAATAAATCTCCTCCAGAGGTCACAGCATTCACTGTGTATTTCAGATCCCAAAAGGAAAGACCTGCACATAGCCAGACTAATCAAGAAGGAACTCAGACAAGCTTCAGCCTTAAACTATGATTGTACATAAAACAAGGACATTTTTTCCCCTCTCTTAATTTAAACATTTCAATGATTTAAAAACAAAAATATCTCAATTCATTGTGACAACTATCACTCTGATTTTCTTACAGAGATATGGGCTTTGGGGCTCCTCTCATTCACCTCCCTCTTTGAAGACACTATGATGTTATTCTGCCATACTACTTTAAAAGGAAATCAATAGTTGCTCATTACAGTAGTAATGCAAATATGTCTGCAGTCTAACAGTCTTGCTATTACAAAATCCTCAGTTCTTAATATAAAAAAAAGACTTTGATTTTTCTCATCACATGTACAGTATACCAAAAGATTTTATCTACCTTTACAAAGTTACTAA